TGCTTGTAAAAATATTACATTTGCCATTTTCCATTATTAGGCACTATGCCAGTTTGTAGTGATATGTTAAAAAGTTTTAGAAAAGGTATGCTAAGTTCCCTCTTCACATTCCTTTAACATCCTTTCAAACAGTTCTCAGGACCTGGGGATTTGTTAGGTTTTAGTTTCTCTATTAGTCTGAGGACCCTGTACTAGTTACCGCAATCGTACATAGTTTATCATCCTGTTCTACGTAATCTATTATTTCAGGAATATCGCTAGTATTTTCCTCTAGCAAATAAACTGCACAAATGTAAGGAAAACAAAAGAATTCCTTCACCATGAGGGAGGCTCCATAAGCACACATGGATGGCCAGCTTTGTTTTGGTACACACTGCCATCTCGTGGTGGGTTTCTCAAACTTATTGTATGTAGTATGTACATATTATATATTTTTTTTTTCAACAAGCCAGTCACCCTCCCCCAAGGAGGGTGACCCAAAAAAGAAAGAAAATCCCAAAAAGAAAATACTTTCATCTTCAATCAACACTTTCACCTCACTCACACATAATCACTGTTTTTGCAGAGGTGCTCAGAATTACAACAGTTTAGAAGCATTACGTAAAAGATACACAACATATCCCTCCAAACTGCCAATATCCCAAAAACCCCTCCTTTAAAGGCAGGCATTGTACTTCCATTTCCAGGACTCAAGTCCGACTATGAAAATAACCGGTTTCCCTGAATCCCTTCACAAAATATTACCCTGCTACACCCCAAAACAGATCGTCAGGTCCCAAGTATCATTCGTCTCCATTCACTCCTATCTAACCGCTCATGCACGCTTGCTGGAAATTCAACCCCCTCGCCCACAAAACCTCCTTTACCCCCTCTTTCCAACCCTTTCGAGGACAACCCTACCCCTCCTTCCTTCCCTATAGATTTATATGCTTTCCATGTCATTCTACTTTGATCCATTCTCTCTAAATGACCAAACCACCTCAACAACCCCTTTTCTGCCCTCTGACTAATGCTTTTATTAACCCCCACACCTTCCCCAAATTTTCCCCACACTCCAAAATTTTCTGCATAATATTTACCCCACACATTGCCCTTGACAGGACATCTCCATTTGCCCCCAAAACCGTCTCCTTGCTGCTGCATTTACCACCCAAGCTTCACATCCATATAAGAGTGTTGGTACTACTATACTTTCATACATTCCCTTCTTTGTAGTAGGTTGGTAGACAGCAACCCCCCCAGGGAGGTACTACCGTCCTGCCAAGTGAGTGTGAAACAAAAGCCTGTAATTGTTTTACATGATGGTGGGATTGCTGGTGTCTTTTGTCTGTCTCATAAATATGCAAGATTATAGGCATGTCTTTGCTATTCTACTTACACTTAGGTCACACTACACATACATGCACAGTTTATTCATCACACTCATCTGAGTTTTCTTTGATTTTATTCTTAATAGTTCTTGGTCTTATTACTTTTCCTTTTATATCCATGGGGAAGTGGAATAAGAATCTTTCCCCCATAAGCCATGTGTGTTGTAAAAGTCAACTAAATGCCGGGAACAAGGGGCTAGTAACCCTTTTCCTGTAAAGATTACTAAAAAGAATAAGAAGAAGAAAAATTATCGACTAATACTTTTATTAATTCCACACCTTCTTTTTTAAACCACCAACATTGCCCTTAGACAGGACATCTCCACTCCCTCCAACCGCCTCCTTTGCTGCAGCATTTACAACCCAAGCTTCACACCCAAAAAAGTGTTGGTACTACTATACTTTCATAATTCCCTTCTTTGCCCCCATAGGTAACATTTTTTGTCCCCACATATACCTCATGCACCACTCACCTTTTTTCCTTCATAAATTCTATGATTAACCTCATCCTTCATAAATCCATCCGCTGACACATCAACTCCCAATATCTGAAAACATTCACTTCTTCCATACTACTACCCCCCAATTTGATACCCAAGTTTTCTT